TTAAAAAAAAAAAAAGCCTGTGAGTTCAACTTTACCTCCAAGTGAGCAAGGTGAAGTTCTGAGAGAATTAAGTTTCTTAGGTTCACTGCTGCTAAGTGGCACATTCAGGGTCTAAAGCCAGATTATAAAATCAGTTCATTTTAAAAATTTTCATTTTTAAAATATGTGTGGTAGAATATAGCCTCTAAAAACCATTTAAAAACATGAAATGTTTTTATATGACATTTTGTTTTGAAAAAAATCCCTGAACTGCCTAGAAGATACACAAAGTATGTTGAAAATTATCATTGTATATCTTAAACTTCTGGCAAGTAGTCCAAAACTAGATAAATCTGGAATATTAAAATAGGCTAATGTGATATAGACCAACTGGGTAGTTATTTTAGATTGGGTGGACTAAGGTTGCCTAAGGTAAATGTAATGTGTCAGTATACTTTAAAGAATAATACATTGAATGCCTATTACCCTGCTGCCAAGAAAGAAATAAAATATTGTCAGTAATTTAGAGGCCCAATATATGTTCCTTTCGGGTCACATTTTCCTCCCTACGACACCTTCCCCGACCTCCTTGCTTCAAACAACCATGACTTAGAATTTTGTTTTAATCATTGCATTCATTTTCTTTGAAATTCAACTATATTTGTGTGTAACTCAAAACAATATATTTTATTGGTTTGCCTAGTTTAGAACTTTCTATAAATGGAATCAGACTATTTTTGTCTGTTAGTTGATTCTTAGCTTCTTTTTTTTTTTTTTTTAAAGATTTTATTTATTTATTTGACAGAGAGAGCAAGAGAGCACAAGCAGGGGAGGAGCAGAAGGAGAGGGAGAAGCGGGCTACCCGCTGAGCAGGGAACCCGATGCGGGGCTCGATCCCAGGACCCTGGGATCATGACCTGAGCTGAAGGCAGACGCTTAACCATCTGAGCCACCCAGGTGCCCCTGATTCTTAGCTTTGACATAGGTTTTTGAAAATCATGTATTTTGATGCAGCCATAGTAATTAGTACATTTCTCTGCTATATGCTGTTCCATTGTATGGATATATATTTGTCCATTTGATGTTATGAACAAAGATGTTTTGAATTTTTTAATAGATAGTTCCTGTTTCCATATTTAGAATTTCTCTAGGGCAGGGATTTTTAAACTTTTTTATGCCATAGCACCCTTTGGAAATCTTTTTTTTTTTTTTTTGTAATTTTATTTATTTGAAAGAGAAAGAGCAACAGGGAGAGAGAGAGAGAGAGCATGAGCAGGGGGAGGGGCAGAGGGAGAGGGAGAAGCAGGCTCCCCACTGAGCAGGGAGCCTGACATGGGGCTTGATCCCAGGACTCTGGGATCACGACCTGAGCCCGAAGGCAGACACTTAACTGACTGAGCCACCCAGGCGCCTCAACCCTTTGGAAATCTTGTAGGCCTATGGAACTGTAGGGGCTGAGGGCAGGTTACTCCAAGATTAGCCACTTTGGGGGCGCCTGGGTGCTCAGTCGTTAAGCGTCTGCCTTCGGCTCAGTCATGATCCCAGGGTCCTGGGATCGAGCCGTGCATCGGGCTCCCTGCTCAGCAGGAAGCCTGCTTCTCCCTCTCCCAATCCCTCCCCCTCTGCTTGTGTTCCCTCTTTCACTGTGTCTCTTTCTGTCAAATAAATAAATAAAAATCTTTAAAAAAAAAAAAAAGATTGGCCACTTTGGCATGAAGATTATTTTGAGCTGAAGGCAATCAAGACCCTGTAGGCTCAAGAGAAACTTTTGCCCTTCTCTTAAGTACATAGAAGAATCTAAACTGGGGATCTTTGCCAGCATAAGGGTTATTACCAGAGATAAATTTTATCTGAGTGACCAATCTGTATGGCAGGACAAACAGCTGATTACCAAACATCTGCTCTTCTTATTGCCCTGTGAATTACGTTCTTTTCCTCTGAAGTTCTGGAACCCTATGCACTTCTCCTTAATTCAGGATGACATATATACCTCATTTTGCCTGTCTTTGGAATTTCCATATCTGTTTAGATTCCCCATACATATGCTGTTAAATTTGATTTTCTCCTGTTAATCTGTCTCTTGTCAATTTGATTCTTAGTCCAGCTAGAAGAACCCCTGAAGGGGACAGGAATTCTTGCTCCCCAACACAACCCTAATGTTTTACATGCTTAGCAAATACATAGGTTTACAAAGAAAACAGATTAAGCTAGAATGATCAAAATATGAAAATATTTTTTTTAAGTTTATTTAAGTAATCCCTACATCCAACATGGAACTCAAACTCACTTTCCCGAGATCAAGAATCACATGCTCTTCCAACTGAGCCAGCCACGTGCCCCTGAAAGAAAATTCTTGATAAAGAAATAGACATACTTCTTTATTAGGGTACTAAATAACAGGATCTATCATTGGATTTAACAACTATCATAATTTAGTGATGAGCATAAAAGAAATTTTTATATATTTGTAACACCTCTGAATGGAATTTGACAATATCTATGATATTTTTTGGTCACAAAGTCACAGGTCCCATTAATAATATTGTGATTTGTTGCCTACATTCATACTTAAAGGAAATGCTTATTTTCAGTTAGAAGTTGGTGACAATTGTTAAAAAAGAAAATTTGGCTGAGTAAATTTTGAAGATCTCATTGCCTTTATTAAACGATTCATGATGGGGCACCTGGGTGGCTCAGTCGGTTAAGCAGCCAACTTTGGATTTTGGCTCAGGTCATGATTTCAGGATCCTGGGATGGAGCCCCACGTTGGGCTCCATGCTCAGTGGGGAGTCTGCTTGAAGATTCTCTCTCTCCCTCACCCTCTGCCCCTTCTTCTGGTCACACGTTCGCTCTCTTTCTCAAATAAGTAAAATGTAAAAAAGATTCATGAATTGGGCAACATCTCACTCTAGTAAGTAGAGGGATGCTCTGAGGAGTTATACAAAATGGAAGGTTTTTATAGGAAGGAGGGTGGGGCAAGAAAGTTATAAACAACAGAAAAGAAAGGATATTTCACGGCAAGGTCACTTTCTCTTTTTTTTTTAAAGATTTTATTTATTTATTTGAGAGAGAGAATGAGATAGAGAGAGCATGAGAGTGGGGAGGGTCAGGGGGAGAAGCAGACTCCCTGCTGAGTGGGGAGCCCAACGCGGGACTCGATCCCAGGACTCCAGGATCATGACCTGAGCCGAAGGCAGTCGCTTAACCAACTGAGCCACCCAGGCGCCCAAGGTCACTTTCTCTTGGTGGGGTTGGTGGAAGAGCAGGCGTTCTTATGCAGATTACCTCATCTTCCTTTGGGGGGTTGGAGGGGGCTATGTTACAGACTCAGTGGCACCTGTCAGAAAATTCTTGACTGACCACTTAAGATTACATTTCTGGGGAAGATTGATATTGCAGTTAAATTGGGTATTAAGCCTTGGTTTACTGACTTGGGGCCTTAACCGAACTGATGCCATTTTGGTCCTGTGTTTTTGTGTTTTTTTAACACAATAAAGATGAAATTTTTTTTCCCATCTAAGTTACCAGACCCTCTGAATTCTTCCATAGACACCTTGGGGATCTGTGTACCAGAGGTTAGGAGCCGCTGCATTAGAGTATATACCTAGGAATGGGATTGCTAGGTCATAAGATGTGTACCATATTCATCTTTACTAAACAGTGCCAAACCATCTTATAAATTTATGCCCTTAATCACAGTGTATGGGTTTTTTCTGACCAATTTTTTATACTGTCCATTTGGTTTGATGAGTATGAAGATGCATTTTTACACCTTACGTAAGAAATAGGTATCAAGTAAAGGGTGGAGGGAATTATATGACGTGTGCAAAGGCAATAGTCCATTTGATGGTGTTCCTGCATGGTTTTGTCCAAAGGTCCAGCTCATGCAGATCTGCAGAAGGAAGGAGGAGAGGTCGATCCAATGCTGTCCCAACTGAGTAGGAAGGAAGGCGATAGCTCTGCATGTAAACTTTGATGCCTGTATTTTGGTGACATCCCTGGCTAAGTACCTTAGTGCTGTCTTATAAGGCCACTAGATGGTGGTATACACTACTTTTCCTTCATTGAAGTGTGACCTAGCATGTGCTATTTTTGTTGTAATTTTTGAGTTCCTGTAATTTAAGCTATAGTTATTTAGTATGGAGTTATCTCACAGTTCCATTTTTTTTGTATGCATGATACAGGATTATGTATTGGAAGAGAAAAATTTCAGTAAAGGCTGTTAACAGAAATTCAAGTTTGAAATTTGAAGATATGAAGAGGTAATTGGCTTTATTCAACAATTCATGAATTGGGCAGCATCTCTTTGAGTAAATAGCTACGTGGAAGAGTTGTGCAAAATGGAATAGTTTTATAGGCAGAAGGAGGGTGGGGCAAGGGAGCTATTAGCAAAAGAAAAGACAGGATTGTTTCAGGCCTGGTCATATTTTGGGGGAAAGGAAAAGCAGGGGTTTTATGCAGATTACCTTACTAGTGCTAATCAGGAAATTTCAGATTGACTGTTCAAGGTCACATTTCTGGGAGAGGTGGAAACTGCAATTAAGTCTTGGTTTGCTGTTATGGGTGAAAATGACTCCATTTTGGGTCTGTTGTTTCTTTTCCAGCAAGGTGAATTACTATCAGTGTTTATGGGTTTCTTTTCTTTATTTTTATTATTATTTTTAAAAGTAATTGGGAATAAAAAATAATTTCCATTTTCATTCAGTTTCTTAAAAAGTTTTCTACTCATATCAGTGAATATTTTTGTTAAGCACCTGTTGTATGTTGAGCATTGAGTTAAATGCCATGGGAAGGAAAATAGACTGTACACTGCTTCAGCTTGTCAACATGTCTTGATATTTCTGTATCAGCCTCCTTGTTGCTAGTCTTCTTCGAATTAGTGGTAGGAAAGATTTGTGAGCAACTCAGTATTAAATATAGTATGAATTTCTTCCAAGTTGTTTCTATAAAATTGCTTTCATTACTAAAACACATGAACATCTGTGTTTAATATATATTAAATATTATGATATCCCTTTTTAGATATATTAATTGGCTTTCTTTATGTTTTGATTTTAAAAGTGAATTCTAGTGGCAGTAACATTTTAGACTTCTCATTAATAAATGTAATTATTCCTTGAAATAGGCTTTACAAGTCTATTGCTCTGAGTGATCTTTGTGCCTCCCAACTGGAGTTGGAGAGAGATGTTATGGGAGAAGTATTTCTGGAGCTTTTGCTACTTGTTTTAGATTGTTACTAAATATGCTGGCTTTTCCCCTACATATAAATTGAGACACTTTCTAGCTTAAAACACTCGTGCACTTAGTTTATGACATATTTTTTCATGAAGCTCCTCTTTCAAATGACCCATTATCCAGTGTTCTCTAGTATATTTCTTTTCACCCTCACTTCCACAAGCTGTCAGATACCCACTAGCTGAGTAATTAATTCACTTTTTAATGTGTTTTAGCTTTACTTGACCATCATTGTTTTTACAGCATCTTTATAATTTTTTTCATTTATATATGAGAAATAATTTACATTTCTGATTTCTTGTGAATTCATCTTTTCATAATTTTGTAGGCCATATCGTTTTCATTTTTCGAGATCTCACTTTATTACCATTGCCCAATTTTCTGTTGTATCGTTCATCTTTATCTTACTGATTTGAAGTCTTGCTGGAAAAGCCAGAAAAAGAAGAGCGTGGTGAGGTCAAGACTGCCTCAGATACTAGGTGACCTTCAGTGTTGGCTTCTTGCAGAATCCAGAGAAACAGACCTGCTCAGTGGGATGGACGGCAAAGGCTCCTACCAGGTGAAGGGCTGGAAGCTCATACAGCAGCAGTTTGTGGCGCTTCTGTGGAAGAGGCTGCTGATTGCCAGACGGAGTCGGAAGGGATTCTTTGCTCAGGTGACAAGTGCTGCTCCAGGCCAGTGACTCTGGCTCCCCGGGTGGGCCGCAGGCTCCCTGACCAGTGCAGGCAGGAGAGGGTCATGGTTGTGAGGTGGATGCTGGAGCCAGACTTTCCGTATTTCAGTCCCAGTCGTGCTTCCTGCCGCTCACGCATCTGCGGGCGAGTTACTTCTCTGTGCCTCTGTGTCCTCATCTTTAGAATGAAGATAATGTGCCTATGACATAGGGTTGTTATGAGGATTAAAGTGAGTAAGTGCTTAGAATGGGGCCTGGCATTAAGTCCTGCTGTGCTCTGTGGGGGTGTGTGTGTGTGTGTGTGTGTGTGTGTGTGTGTGTGTGAGGTTTATGGTAGAGGACAGCGTAACAAGGACAGAGTTTAGGAAAATTGGCTGGGCAAATTCAGTTTTCATAAGCTGAGATGCACTTGACATATAAACTTCTTGGAAACATGACTTTTCTCTAAAGTGATGTTTAACTGCAAATTGACAGAAAGGTAGCCGGAGAGGTCAGAAAAAAATGGGCAAACCGAGAAGACTCCTTACACTGTTGCCTGCATGTCAGTGTTTGCATGCTAAGTTGCTTGGTCGGAAGGGATAAAATTATCCCGCTGTATAAAATCGAGAAGTATAGAGAAAGTGTCTGTAGAGATTCTTCCCTGCAGACTCTGTGGGTAATGCAGGGAGTATGAATTTGGAGCATGCAGACCTGGGTTGGAATTCTGGTTCTGCCACTTATTGGCTGTGTGACCTTGGGCAAGTTGCTTAGTCTTTCTGAGCTCAATTCCCTTGTTCGTTGATTGGTGATAGAGTTGTAACGATAATGAAATGAGATGATTGTCATAGAGTATTTTCCCATAAAGAAGGATTTGGGTGATGACGCGTTTTGAGGCCATCCCATGGTGACAGCGGACGCTGTCCCCTTTCAGAGCGTGGGGTCTGACTGGGTCACTTAGTCTTGGTCTGTAGATTACAAGTGAGAGGCCGCAGCGGGAGTGACTTCACATGGGTACACTTGTAGTAGAGACAGAACCAGGCTTCGGGTCTTCTGGCTCCTGGTGCAGGGCTTGTTCTCTCGGCCTTTCTCTGAGCTGAGCCGGGCTCATGGCTCATCGTGGTCTTTCTCAGGTCTTCGGTGGGAAGAGAGCAGGACCCAGAGTTCTGAGTCCCCCTGACATGTGACCACTGTTTACTCTGTGAAGTTTTGAGCTTCGTGCCACTGAGAGGTGTCCACAGCCTCTGGCCTTGTGCTGCCAGCCTCCAGAAATGCCCTGGAGGGAAGAGGTTTCGGTGGCAAGATCTGCTGCTTCTCACCTGCCATGAATGCCTTGGTGGAGCTCTGTTCTGGGTCCCGTGGTGCTCACTTGCGTGCTGGCTGGGCTGGGGAGGCTGGTTGGACTCTTAGGGGCTTGCCCCAGGCCCCTTTTTCTGTCACTTGGCCTTGTTTTGCCACTTCCTTTCCCCCTCTGTCCCCTGGTTACAGATCGTCCTACCAGCTGTGTTTGTCTGCATTGCCCTGGTGTTCAGCTTGATCGTGCCCCCCTTTGGCAAGTACCCCAGCCTGGAACTTCAGCCCTGGATGTACAACGAACAGTACACGTTTGTTTGCTTTCTGTGCCCCTGGAGAGAAGAGAGCTCAGGCAGACTGAGGGTGTTGACGCTGCTGAGGGCCAAGGGCAGGTGGACTCGAGAATCACGCAGTGGAGTGCATTTTATCAGCTGTTCCAAAGCCCCGACACAGACTAATATCGTATGCAAAGAACAGCAGGGAATTGAACTTGAAATGAGAGTCCTCTTTTGTCATATTTGAACTTTTCTCCTCTTTATACTGGTATTTCCAGCTACAGTTATATGTATTTTAAGAAAATAATCTGCCCTTCTAAAATCTAGGATTAAGTTATAAATGTATTTGGATATTTACAGCTATGTGAATTTTGTAGTTAAGTCAAAGGATTTATACACATTGTACCTCTAGGAAGTTAATGCTTTGTTTTTTTCCACAATGCAATTCTTGCATTTTTTATCTGTTAAGTTGTAGATATTAGCTAGTATTTGTCCTTTAGACAAAAATAGCCCTTACTTATAACAAACAATCCAGTACTTCAAACAAAAGATTAAAGGAATTTCTTAATCTTGTTAGGCAGAAATTTTCTTCATTTTTGTAGGATTTATAGATCTTTAGATGGGGGAGAACATGTCAGTGATATAAAAAACAAGGGAAGCTGGGGCACCTGGGTGGCTCAGTTGGTTTAGCGTCCAACTCTTGATATCAGCTGAGGACATGATCTCAGGGTTATGAGATCGAGCTCAGGACATGATCTCAGGGTCATGATCTCAGGGTCATGAGATCAGCTCAGGACATGATCTCAGGGTCATGAGATCAGCTCAGGACATGATCTCAGGGTAATGAGATCAGGCTCTGGGCTCAGTGGTCTGCTTGAGATTCTCTCTCTCCCTCTCCCTCTGCCCTGCCTCCCTGGGCTCACGATCTCTCTCTCTCTTTCTCTCTCCCTAAAATAAATAAATGAATCTTCTAAAAAAGAACAAGGGAAGCTTTTTTTAAAAAGTTATACTATGTATACACACACACACGTGTATATATATATATGCTATATATGCATACTCTATATACACGTAGTATATATAGTATATATGTATAATGTATATACATAGTTTATACACATATAATTTATACACAGAGTTTAAACACATAGTATATATGCTATATATATAGTTGTGTGTAAATATATGCTATAGTATATATAGCATAGTGTATGTGTGTATCTGTTTATATATATATATATAAACAGATATATATATATGGCTCAGGTTTACTTTATTCTTTCTTTTCTAGGCTCACCTTGTATTGCTCATGGCTGTAGCAATGCGTTCATAATCTGTGCTCATTATTGTTTATAGTTTTTAGTTGTCCATGCAAATATTCAGCCAATAAAATCTCCGTGACCTTTGTAGAAAGTC